GCTGTAGCAATGCACATTTCAATTAAAGAACAGAAGATATCATTAGAAAATGAACAATATGTAGACTTGCTGTTTTTAACAAGAATTCAAAATTATCACTTTTCACCAAAAATAATCATCAAAATTAGATAATTGAAGATATCACCACGAAATTAACCTGTGGTTTTTAACAAGAAGTCGAAAATATCACTTTTTACCAAAAATTACAAAAATATTCATCAAAAATAGAGAATTGAAGATATCATCATGAAATGAACAAATCTGAGAGAGGTCCACATGTAGTACCTATATATGTAATATCAAAGCAATTGGACTTGCAGTTTTTAACAAGATTAGAGAATTGAAGATTTCAACATGAAATGAACAAATCTAAGAGAGGTCTACCTAAGGTACATATATACCAAGTATCAAAGCATTCAGGCTTATAGTTTTCAAGAAGAAGTCTAAAAAGTAAAACATTGACAAGGACGACGACGGACAATCACTCATATGATAAGCTCTGCTCAACAAAGTCGACAGCAAAGCTAAACATTTTTTTAAAATATTTCAGGATATCATCAGTCACCACACGTAATTTGTTCAGGTTATGTCTTATATATTAAACAGCCTACAATTTGAGATATGACATAATATCATAAGTTTGTCAAAGTAAGCATTTACTTTATATGTACGGTAATTAAAAACAAGTCAACAGTGAAATATACTATAAAATGCATGCACACATGTAAGCTATGAGAATGAATATTCTGTACAATGACAAATTCATATAGAATTATTTATGCACAAATGAACATTGATATGTGGACCATCTACACATAAGATTTAACTAGACTGCTTCACGACATAGCTATATAGAATACCATGTTTTTAGTTTAACTAATTCACATATTTCAGATTCAAAACAAAACATTTTGAGTGATTTAAAGCAATTTTTATCATTTATAATTCCTAACTCCACTCCCTGAGGCATACAACATTTGATGAGTTTCTGAGAAGATGATATTCATTGACAAATAAATGGTTGGATGACAGTTAACACAGCATCATCTCAATAGGTCATCAGATATTATTGGTTCAATAAGGTACAATTAATGATAGCTGATATTTACCTTTGTGTTTGTGATATCGTGGTTGTAAATGCCATGGTACAAGGACGTCCTGCGAGTCAAACTAAATCAAAGAGAGAAAATTATTATTTTAAGCTGACATGCTTCAAACATTGATGTACTCAACAAATCACCCACTGAGACAGTTTTATCCCCACTCTAGTTTGCTATCTGTGGCGGTTTTCAGCTGGCGATGTAACAGGAACTACTAGTATGCAACTTAATTTGTTTGTACAATGTGGCTGTGTTTACCACAGTTTCCTCTGTCTGATTTCCTTGCTCCCATTTTTCAGGAAGCTGGGGTAGACTGTGTTAGGAGGGATCAAATAGAATGACCAAAACTAATGGATAACATTTTTTCGGATGTAACTTTTGAGTAACGTTTTATTTTGTGACTGCTTTTTACCATTCAGCATTTTGCTTGTATTTCACATTTTCAAGAAACCATGAAAACATGGAAACACAATTAGTAAGTTTACAGGGCAATTATAAAATATCAAAAATATAAGGCCAAAAAAAAATAGATTTCTGATTTCATACATTTTCTGTGATGAATAAATTATATTCAATTGAAAGATCAAATCAAATAAAAACGATGCACGTTCAACATTTTGTCAGTTGATCAGGGCTAGGGTGTGTGCATGATTTGTGTTGACATAAAGAAAGTAATTCACCCATGATATAAAAAAATCAGATTCACCACTATTCTACTCCATATTTTGGGTGATTTTCACAAACGCATGTCCTTATCACTTACAATAAAACTCACAAGAAAATCTGGTCCATGTGCATCAAGTTTGAAATGGGTTGCTCACACATTTTTGTTCAATGTAATTCAATTCAAGAAAATGTAAAACGATTAAAAAAAATTGTTTTGACAAAGGAAAAAATAAACCGGCATCATATTTTCCAGTGACAATTCTATTTTTTTGGGGGGTGGTCTAAGAAGCCATCCAAACTTTAGGATACCATATTTGCTATATTTACTTTCATAAATTACACAGGTGTTTCTATAGACAAAGTAAATAATATTGGAATGATTTAGTAATCAAATGTGTCCTTTGGTTTACTGTAAAATACTTTATTTTCGCTTGGAATTATTTTTCGCTATTTTCGCTCAAGGGATGATTCAGTGAAAATAAAATCCAGCGAATATATACTATTTTTCCTATATATTACATTTAACTCATCAAAGATCAGTGAAAATAAATTCCAGCTAAAATAAAGTATTTTACAGTATATGCGCTTCTATTGGAGATACACATATATGGTATTAAAGTGAATTAAGCTAAGACTGTACAATTTACAATACTTTCAATTTAACTTAGAATACAATTAACCAGAATATGGTAGATGTATCTCACCTTGCGTTGTTTTTGTTCCATAGCCCATACATAAACCATGAGCTTGCCTCCAGGCCTTAATATCCTGGATAACTCTTGTAACGCCTGTATTCGTCTTTCAACAGTAGCAAAGTGATGAATAACAGCAATAGATATAACTGCATCAAAACAATTATCACGATATGGTAGTCTGATATTGTCACATACCATCACTTCATAGCTGTTTTTATTTGCTATGTCTACCAGTCTTTCACATCTATCTGACCCTATCTTAAACGTCTCCCCGTTAATTGGAAGATATCTTCCATTTCCACAACCTGAAAGTCAAACAAACCCGTTAATTGGAAGATATCTTCCATTTCCACAACCTGAAAGGCAAACAAAATGTAATGATATACATGAACAGATTTTTTTGTTTTTTATTTTTTTAAATATTTTTTTTGTGCCGGGCGACAGTTCCCGACATCGAGTGTCATCTCCTGACTTTTTTGTTTGTATGTGCAAATTGCAAGTGCTGGTGATGACACATAGTGTATTTTGCCATAGAAGTCATATTCATGCCTGGGACTACATGACAGGGCTGTGCGGCTATCTCCCTGTCAAATGGCAATTTGTAATGCGCTATCTTGGCGTCAACCAGGCCCGATCGAACACAAGCACCTGCGGACCTGCATGAACAGATTTGAATATGTAATAAATGCACATAGTTGAACAAAATCACTTAAAATCATTCTCATTGTGTCAACACAGGTGGCGCTATTCACCGCAGACCTGCGTCTTATGACGCATAACTAGCATCTGAAGGCTAAATATCCATCCGCTACCATTTTTCTCAGCGTTTCTGCCGCGGAACTATATAAAAGTATTTTTCTTGTTTTGAACACATCCTCCCCCGATTTTTAGCAAGATTTAATCTTTAATGAGTTGATCAATTAAAATAACACACAACACTCATCAGAATATCTTATTTTATTAACATTAAAATGCATGTAAATTGGGAGGTCAAAGGTCTAATTTTTCTCAATATTTCATTGACACGCAGATCGCCGCAAACCAACCGAATAGCGCCACCTGTGTTGACACAAAGTGGAAATAGTTCCGACCACTTTTCCCATAGTTCCACGCGCGGTATGTGTCAGATTGGTTGGTTTGCCGCGATCTGCATGTCAATGAATCATTCTTGAAAACTTATTGATTTTATTTTAAATATTTTATTTGATAGCCAAAATTGGTATTAATTCATACTGCAGAAAATGCAAGAAAATGCAAATCATCATTGTACAAAAAAAAGAGCACAAACGATTTTAGTCATGAATAGTTCTCCACTAAACAGAAAATTAATCATACCCCAACCAACTTTGATTTCTCGATTTTCAGGGCCACAGACCAGACTAGTTCATCAAAAAACTAATTTTGTAGTCATCGCCTTAAGAATATTAACAAATTATTAGCGTTATGATAATTACTTTGTATGTTCCGGTGAAATAAAAATGTCATTTATAGTATTTCCTATCATGTTTTAATAGTAATTATTGCAATAACATTTTGTCATATGTCACCTACCAAATTATAACTACCGGTATACATACATACCAGTAGTAGCTATGAAATATTGACAGTACTATTTTTATCAAGCTATTAAAAATATTGTAGACAGAAATATCAACCATCTGCCTACTTTGAGCAGACAATAAAGCACTTAGAATATTATTAAATGTAAAGTAATGCAGTTAAAATAGAAAAAAATTATCATTTTAATCATAGACACAACTTCCATTTAAATTTAAATTCATTTTGTGGAAAAAATTAATTAATATATACATTCTGAAAAATGCAGGCAAACAGAAGCCTGGTTAAAGCGGGAGGGTCGTCACCTGCACACACCCGAGATTCGAGTCCCAAGCGATGATAAAGCATGCTAAAAATGCAAAGGCTCATGGGTAGGCACTTGTTTACAATGACACGCTATGGCCATCTGACGCATGCGCAGGTGACGACTCCCTCGCTTTAAACGAAAGTCTATCAACAATACAGAAAAAAAAAATCACGTCTTATCTAATCTAGAACATATAGTAAAAGTCAATTATGATATTTCAAAAATCTATTATGATATATCTATGCTTACAATGAGTAATGGATTTCAGTATACAAGAGAGAGCAATTTTATTTTATATATCGAGGCAATCTCATGAATTAGATTACAGTGTAATATTGAAGTAGAAATATTATAAAAGGACAATTTCTACATAAGTGTATACTACACTAGGTTATTAAAAGTATACCACAAAGTGTGCACAAAATACAGTACAGTGATCGTAACGATGAGCACGTAGCAAATTTTAATATTCAAATCAAATACACATGACTTGACACAAACCTGACAATCTTGGCTGATTTGAATATTCAGATCAAATACACATGACTTGACATAACCTGACGATCTTGGCTGATTTGTATATTCAGATCAAATACACATGACTTGACATAACCTGACGATCTTAGCTGATTTGAATATTCAGATCAAATACACATGACTTGACATAACCTGACGATCTTAGCTGATTTGTATATTCAGATCAAATACACATGACTTGACACAAACCTGACTATCTCGGCTGATTTTAATATTCAGATCAAATACACATGACTTGACACAAACCTGACGATCTCGGCTGATTTGAATATTCAGATCAAATACACATGATTTGACATAACCTGACGATCTTAGCTGATTTGAATATTCAGATCAAATACACATGACTTGACACAAACCTGACGATCTCGGCTGATTTTAATATTCAGATCAAATACACATGACTTGACACAAACCTGACGATCTCGGCTGATTTGAATATTCAGATCAAATACACATGATTTGACACAGACTTGACTATCTCTGCTGATTTGTTTATTCAGATCAAATACACATGACTTGACATAACCTGACGATCTTAGCTGATTTGAATATTCAGATCAAATACACATGACTTGACACAAACCTGACGATCTTGGCTGATTTGAATATTCAGATCAAATACACATGACTTGACATAACCTGACGATCTTGGCTGATTTGTATTCAGATCAAATACACATGACTTGACATAACCTGACGATCTTAGCTGATTTGAATATTCAGATCAAATACACATGACTTGACATAACCTGACGATCTTAGCTGATTTGTATATTCAGATCAAATACACATGACTTGACATAACCTGACTATCTCGGCTGATTTGAATATTCAGATCAAATACACATGACTTGACACAAACCTGACTATCTCGGCTGATTTTAATATTCAGATCAAATACACATGACTTGACACAAACCTGACGATCTCGGCTGATTTGAATATTCAGATCAAATACACACGACTTGACACAAACCTGACGATCTCGGCTGATTTGAATATTCAGATCAAATACACATGACTTGACACAAACCTGATGATCTCGGCTGATTTGAATATTCAGATCAAATACACATGACTTGACACAAACCTGATGATCTCGGCTGATTTGAATATTCAGATCAAATACACATGACTTGACACAAACCTGACTATCTCGGCTGATTTTAATATTCAGATCAAATACACATGACTTGACACAAACCTGACGATCTCGGCTGATTTGAATATTCAGATCAAATACACATGATTTGACATAACCTGACGATCTTAGCTGATTTGAATATTCAGATCAAATACACATGACTTGACACAAACCTGACGATCTCGGCTGATTTTAATATTCAGATCAAATACACATGACTTGACACAAACCTGACGATCTCGGCTGATTTGAATATTCAGATCAAATACACATGACTTGACACAAACCTGACGATCGCGGCTGATTTGAATATTCAGATCAAATACACATGACTTGACACAAACCTGACGATCTCGGCTGATTTGAATATTCAGATCAAATACACATGACTTGACACAAACCTGACTATCAGACGATTTGAATACACAG